TTGAAACTAAGTCCTAATCAGAGTGACTGGAGAGAGTGACAGAATACAGAAATACTAAGAAGTACTGTTGTCAAGATCAGTCATTTCTAGATGCTGTGGAGGTGGGAGGAAATCCAAAATGATTGCTAGATTTTTGGCTTAAGTGACTAGAAGAGTGGTGGTACCTTTAATAAAATAAGAACTGGACAAACAGGAGGTTTGTGGGGAAGATGAATGTCTTGCTTTAGATATGTTGGATTTTAGATATCTTTGAAATATTCATATCACAGATGCCTATGAATATCATGATATTAGAGAGGTGGTTATTAACCAAGTCACAATCTTTAAAACACATAAATCTTCCATTAAATAAATTTCTATAAAAATTATACTGACTTAAGTGGTATCCTTTTGGTAGAAAAATACTTTAAATTTATATATAACCCATATTTATTTTTTACTCTTATAGTGTTCATTTTTTGTTCACCTATAGAACTCTCCCACTCTGAGGCTTTTCCAATCCTTAAATATAGGCAAAGTTTCCTTCATCTTCAGAGAATACTTCCCAACTCCTTCTAAACACCCTGATAGCAAAACCAAAGATGTACAGAAGCTGCAGACCATTATTCCTTATAATTATAGACACAGAAATCCTCAAGTACTGCCAGCCCAGATCTAGCAACCTACATAAAGTCTTCTGTGCACAAGTGGGATTTATTTCAGGACTGCAAGTTTGCTTCAACAAATATCAATAGAATATACCATATTAGAACTAATACAGCATGACAGTAATAAGTAATAATAAAAGCTATGTAATCATTTAAATAGACACTTGAAAAACACTTCACAAAATCTGTATCTTTTCATTGTCTAAAAACAAAATCAAATACCTAGACAAAATCAAAACAGAAGAGAAACCCCTCAGCCTGACAAAGGTGATCTGTGAAAACCCAACAGTTAGCATCATATCTAATGATGAGGCAATTCTTTCCTCCTGCAGTTAGGAATAAGACAGCGATACCCATCTACTTGTGGCACTGCTAGTCAACTTTTCATTGTAAGTTCTAAGTAGGATAGTTAAGGAAGAAAAGTAAACGCATGGCATCTAGAGGAGAAAGAAAAAAGTAAAATTGTATTTGCAGATAATATGATCTTTTATATAGAAAATCCTAAGGAACCCACTAAAAAAACTTGAACTAAACAGTTCAGCACAGTTGCAGTGCACAAGAGTAATATATTACAATCAATTGTATTCCTACACAATACTATGAACACTGACAATAATTAACAATTCCACTTATAACAGCATAAAAAATTAAATACTTTAGAATAAACTTGCGTATAAAATTAATACAGTAAACTATAAAATATGTTGAAAGAAGATAAACAGAGATATCACATGTTCACAAATTAGAAGATAATATTTAGGATATCAATGGTTTCCAACAGTATTCATCTACAGATTCAACACTCTCCCTGTCAAAATCTCAGTTGAGATTTTTGTAAAATGGACAGACTCATGCTAAAATACAGATGGACCTACAAGGGATTCAGCATAGCCAACAATTTGAAAGAAAAGATGGAAATAAAGTGTTTGTAGATGGGGAGGGTAGGAGGGGTGAAGGGAGGGCAGGGACAAGGGGAAAAAATGAGAACCAAGACTTGTCATGTAGAGGTACAAGATCCCAACAATGAATGTAACTGTACTGTATCCCTAAAATGTACCAATAAACTCAATTAAAGCTGAAAAGAATATCAAATTGGAGAATTCATATTTCCTGATTTTTTTTTTGCAATTTAATACAGAGTTGCAGTACTCAAAGTGATACTGGCATAAGGAGTTATGGAATATAATTAAGAATTTGAAAATAGATCCTCACATTTATACTCCATTGTTTTCCTACCAAAGTTCCAAAATAATGAGGATAGAATAGTCTGTTGGCACTCGAGCCAAGTCACCGAAGCACTGCCCCAGCACCTGAGTGTTATGTAATAGCACACATATGTGCATGCTCAGAAAGGAGTAGTAGCACGAGGCAATGACGTCACAAGCAGTTTGGGCACTTGATCTCAAAAGGTTCACCATCACTGATCTAGAGGAACAGAATCAATGGAAAAGAGTCATATTTATATATGTACATATACATACATACATAAAATTGTGCAAGGAAATTTGTTAAATAGGCTTACAGGAAGCTTACAGGGTCAGATATCCTATAATAGATACCTTCATGCCAGAGGATTCAGGATCTGATCTGTACAAAAAGCTGGAAGCATCGCAACAAGAGGGATCAAGGATGCACTCTCAGTTTGAGTCTAAAAGCCTGAAACCTCCCTGGAGGGTATCTGGTGTGAGTCTGCATTGAAAGACTGAAAAGGCTGGAGTTTGATGTCCACAAGCAATGGCAGTGGCAAGGGATGCAACCACAGAAACTGAGTCAAGCTTGCGCACATTGGCCAGATTCCTACTCATTCTCCCTTTCCTTCCATCCAGGCTGTAGGCCTCTTGGATGTGCCACCTGCAGTCAACGCAGGTGTTTTCTGCCTCAATTTGCTGGTCTGAATGCCAGGCATCTCTGAAAATATCCTCACAGAGACAGGCAAAAGAGTGCTTTACTAATCTAGTCATCTCTTAACCAGTCAAGTTGACAATAAGGAAGGCCCCTACTTCATACCATACACAAATATTAATTCAGAATGAACACTAAACATAAATGTAAGTACTGAAACTATACAATTCTTAGAAAAACATATATTACCTTATTACCTAAAACAATCTGCTACCTTGGGTTAGACCAAGGCTATAAAATGTATTAACAAAAGAACAGACAGCCAAATTGGAGTATTTGAAAAAAATACAATAAAAAATGTTAAAAGGCAACTCACAAAATGAGAGAAAATATTTGCTAATTATATATCGAATAAAGGGCTTGTATCTAGTTTTTTTGTTTGTTTGATTGGCTGGTTGGTTTTGGTGTTTGAGACAGGTTCTCACTGTGTAGCTCAAGCTGGCCTCAAATATACTATGTAGCCCAGGCTGGTCTCCTGCCTCAGCCTCTTGAGTGCTGGGATTACAGACATATGCTACCACTCCTGAGTTTGTAATTAGACTGTTTAATAAAACTCTTATAACTCAGTGATTAAAACAAGAATGAGCAAAAGACCTGAGTAAATATTTTTTACAGAACTTATACAAATGGCCATAAAAAGATGTTACAAATCACTAGTAATTATGGAAATGTATATCACCACCACAACATACTACATTCACCCAGGATAGCATTAACCAAAAAGCCAATAAAAATATTGGCAAGGATATAGAGAAATTGTTGTCAAGTACCCTGTTGGTTAGACTGTGAAATGGTTTAGTCTATTTTGGAAAACTTAAATAGTTAGTTCTACAAGTAGCTAAATAGAGTTACCTTATAACCTAGCAGTTACACTCCTAGATATATATATATCAATGAGAAAGGAGCGTGTATGTCTACACAAAAGCTTGTCATTGACTGTCCCTGTAGCATTAGTCCTAATAGCCAAAAATTGGAAAAAAATCCAAATGCCTAACTGATGACTGAAAAAACATCCTGAGATATCCTGAAAGGAACCTATCCATCAATGAAACCATGCTGATAAATCCTATACATGAATGAACTTTGAAAACACGATGCTCAATGAAAGAAGACAGTCACAAAGCACCATATATTACATTATTGTATTTATTGAAAATAAAGAATAGGCAAATTACATACAGAGAGAGTAGCTTGGGCATTGTCTTGGGCCAAGGGTCAGAATGGGAAGGAGTGGGAGTGGTGGGTACAGGTGTAGGGCTCTTTTTTGGGGTGATGAAAATGTTCTAAAAGTGATCGTGAGGGACTGGGGTTTAGCTTTATGGTAGAATGATGCCTCACATGTGCAAAGCCTTGTTTTTCATCCCCAGCATACTCATAGCCTCAAAAAATAACAAAAAAAGACTGTTTTATGATTTCACAATTCTGTGGATACAGTAAAATTACTGAATTTTAGACTGTATATCAGTGAACTATATGGTATATGAATTACATATCTCAAGGCTTTGGAGGAGTGACTACTGCAATTGAACTCAATGCCTTTGCAATGGGCTGCATCCTCAGTGCCTCACCTTTTTTTTCCCCCGGCATTGCAGATCAAACTCAGAACCTTGCACTTGGGAGGAAGGCATCTGCACCATTGAGCTAAATCCCTGGCCCACCATTTTTTAAGGCAAGGTCTTGCTGAGTCTGTTAAGTTGCTCTCAGGCTTGGATCAGATTTTTTCTCCATTAAGTTTTCACCAATTAATAGAAATTTATCAATCTGATCATCCATATGCTCCTAATTATATACTCTGTATTTTATCTTACTACCTCTGATTTTTGCAATTTAATACAAAGTTCTGTTCGTTGTTTCTCTTGCATACTCAATTATCCATTGTATATTTATGAGTACAGATTATCTACTATCTCTTACCAGAATTATCCTTCTTTCAGTGGTAGAATGCAAATGCAAATGTTCATTGGTTATTTAGTGAGTCCTATTTTTAAGGAACCTATTAAGATGGTTGCTATTCCTTCCATCCAGTTTGATTCTAATGTACAATGGTGGTACATTTTTGCTATATGGTTCAGAGCACATAATTTACTTATTTTGGAAAAATATATTTCTTAAATGCTTACAAACTATAATGATGTGTCGTTTGTTTTAAATATATTAACAAAACTATTTGTTGACCATATACTCTATATTAGTAACTGTGCTGAGCTCTAGTATAATACATTTATTTAAATGTCAAAGTACACCAGTTTTTAACAATTTTACAGTCTGTTTGGGAGAATGATTTTAGACTTAAATATGAAAAGTTCAGAATTAGACATAACTAAAAACACTAAGTAAATTCAGGAGCTCTCTTCTCTGGAAGATTGATATGGGCCAGAGTTATTCAGAATTCTCTATAGAAAAATGAGATTTTTTCAGATAGCCTTATTTAATTTTTTCCTTGTTTCTTAGATACAAAAAGCAAAACATGAATGATATATATTACCAATGTGCAAAGTTGATTCGGATAGAACTGAAGTACAGTTGCCTGCAACATATTCCAGAGGATTTGGAGAAGTCAAAGTAATGGATAACAGGAAAGAGCCTCCATTCTTCAATGAAGATAACATGGAACTGGGACCACTTGACTACAAACATCTTTTCTATGATACCATGGAGCTCTTTATTGAGACACTGACTGGAACATGTTTTAAGCTGAGAGTTTCGCCATTTGAAGCAGTCATTTCCATAAAGGCAAAGATTCAAAGACTGGAAGGTACTAGTCTTTCTTTGTTATTAGAATAAAAGGGTTAAATTTGTTCATCAATAAAATGTAATTTTAAAAATTTTTAATAGAGAAATTTTCAAAAATATGACATTTGAAAGAATAAGATGATGAACCCCCAAGTGCCCCTCACTCATCTTCAACAATTACAACTTGAAAACTTATCTTCTGTCTGTTTCATGTTCTTCCCACCTCAGTCCCCTTCTCCCAGATTCTTTTGAGGCAGATCTGGCATCATGCTAATGGTGGAAGTAACATTTTAAAATAGTATTTTAGTTACTTCCCTTGTTGCTGGGACACTTCCTGACTCCCACAAATTAAAGGGAGAAAGGGATGGGCTCACAGTTTATAGAGGTTTCAGTCCATAATCAGCTGGCTCCAAGGCAGGGCAACATGGCAGAGGGGCCTGGCAGAGGAGGGTTGCTCATAGCTTGCCAGTCCAGCAGAGTGATCAAGGGAGAATGGAGGGAGACAGACTCTTCCAGGCCATGTCTCTGGTGCCCCACGTCTTCTGAACAGACTTCACCTGCCAACCTCACGTTTAGCTATGAACTCATTAGTTGACTAATCCACTGATGAGTATCCCACCCCCATAAGCGAGTCACCTCCACAAAGCTCCCACTATGAGTGCTTTAAGGCTCTGGGACATCCAGATTGAAATCATAACAAATAATCTTCAACAGGTTAGAATGACATGCAGACTTTACCATAGCTCTCTTAAGGTTATTTTAATCAGGAAATTATTTGCTTTCTCTTTTAGTGACCTCACCTCCCTTTTTGCACTACTTGCAAATCATTTTTTTTCCCTAATGTGGAGATTTCTAAGACGACTTTTTGGCTTTCATTTATATGTAGCAGACATTCCCTTAGTGCAGAAGGGATACTGAATAACTGAGGAGGGGCTGTTGAGGTCAGTGGCCTGCAGATTCTCGAGCTGATGCCAGCACATCCAGTAATGGCATGTGCAGCATTGAGCACCACACATGATTCAGTAGACCTAGTTGGAATAATTTCTTTAGACTTTGTTCTGCTTTTCTATTGTATGATGATGGTACAAAGAGCGGGAGTATAAAATCTTCTTGGGTTCCAGATAATCTTCAGCGCTGGGGATGTAGCTCAGTGGTAGAAGACTTGTATTGACATGCCCAAGGTGTAAGATTGAATCCCTGGCACCAGAAAATAAAAGTAATCTGTATTCTTCCCTCTTTCATGTATTTTAAATAATCTCTATGCTGCAGAAGCACTTTGGAGAGCATTCTGTTCCAGACTTTTAATGTCAGGAGACTAAATTTAGGCTTAAGGAAGATTAGAAACTCATCAGAAATATTTAGTTAGTGTGAGTCAGAACCAAAGCAAGTTGTATAGACTCCATAGGAGGAAATATTGTTAAGATAAAAGCATTGTCTTTGTCATTATTAGACAGTTGAATCCCAGTGTAAACACTTATAAACAAATGCAGATGAAAATTAAGATAATATTTTAAATGCCTACTATCTTAGTCTGTTGGGGCTGACCTAAAAAAAAATGCCATAGAATGGGTGGCTTCCACAGCTGAGATTTATCTTCTCACATTGGAAGTCCAAGGGTCAGGTTCTGGTGAAGGTACTTAACCTATTTTCTGTAGTAAACACAGTGCCACGGACTGGTTGTCATGGTTGCTTTTCTCGTTGCTGAAGACAAAATACCTGATTGTCAAAGTTAAAGGAGAAAGGGTTTATTTGGCTCACAGTTTGTAGAGTTTTTAGTCCATAGTTGGCTGGCTCTAAGGCAGGGTGGCATGGCAGATAAGCATTCACAGAGGAGAAACAGTTCATGGTGGGCAGAAGGTAGCAAGCAAGGAAGGAAACCAATAAGCAACCTTACCAGCTTCTTTCTGCCCCATTTTTACTCTCTAGGCTACCAGGATTAGGGTGGTGTCAAACCAATCAGTGGGCTGATTTAGTGATCACACACTCTTAATCTTGGCACACACTAGATTCAGCCGCTTCTAAAAAAGCCCCACCTATGACTGCATGAGGCTTTGGGGGACATCTAGACACAAGCCTTAGCTATATAAAAACAGGTTTATTTGGCTTCCCAGTTCTTGTTCAAAGTTGAGGGGCCACATCTGATGATGGTCTTCTTGCTGTAGAGACCTAGGAGGACAGTGTAGGCATCATATGGCAGGAGACAGGGAGCACACCCATTCGTGTGTGTGTGTGTGTGTGTGTGTGTGTGTGTGTATGTCTGACCTCTCTGTCTCTGCATCTGTGTGTGTCTCTGTATCTTTGTGTGCATATGTGCATGCATGCATCCCGATCCCTGTGCTTCCTATAAAGCCACCAGTATTCAGGCATGGAGACTCACACAGGTGACCTTGTATCATGCTAATAACCTTGCAGAGGCCCTGTCTCTAAACACTATAGTTTAAATTTCCACCCTCGGAATCCCTCACATTGGGGGTTATATTTCAACATGAGTTTCGAGGGGCAAACCATTCTGAAACACAGCAGCCCCCTTCCTGGCTTGCAGCCTTCTCACTGTATCTTCACGTGCCTAGAGAGAGCTGCACATGCATGTCTGCTGGTGTTCCCTAAAAGGACACTGGTCCCATGAGGAGGACCCATCATCAGCAAGTTTCTAAACCTGATTACCTCCCATGAGCCTCATTCCCAAATGCCTTCATCCTGGGGGTTGGGGCCATAAGAGAAGGGATACAGGGGATTGCATAGTGCCTCCCACTACTTCCTTTTGTGTCCTTTTCCTAGCTCAGCTCCCCTCACGCCTTCCTTTCCTGTGTTCTCTGGACTTTCTTGTAGCTTCTTGCAGCCTAAAGGCAGTGATGATCACTGTGTTCTTTCAGAAGGCTTCGAGGCTGCAGCCTTCACCCAATGCATCTCCATCCTTTTCCTGGTGGACTTTCTACTTCTGGCCTGGATGTCATGTGGAACTAATGTGGTGAGGCTCCAGGTCAGAAAGATGTGATCAAGAGCCTGGAGGTTGGAAGGGATGTGTGGGGAGAAGGCAGCAGGGGCACACTCAGTTAGGATGACTCAACCCCAGCCCTGAGAGGGCTGGTGCCCAGAAGGCATTTTAATCAAGCCTGGAAGGGGGGATGGCTGTGCCAGTGCTCAGCTTCAGATGACCAGGCTGTGTTCCTGCTTTCATTTTAATAGTGCTATCCTGGGTGTCTTCCTCCATACTTTTATATTTGTTTGTATTACCTGTTTTGGATAGGGTCTCATTGCATAGCCAGTCTGGCCTGAAACTCATGATCCTCCTGCCTTAGCCTCCTAGATGCTGGGAAAAAAGGCATGTTCCATCGCATCTCGGCCTTTTGGCTAAGATCAAGTATAGGCATGTACCGCCATGCTGGGCTTCATTCTTTTATTTTTAGTGCATATATGTGTTTTATTTACAGTGAAATATACAGTCTTGTATTTTTCTACTATTCTGTTTTTAATTGATATATTTTAGAACATTTAAAGTAGTTATTACTATATTGGATTAATTATATGTTATTGTTTTCTGTTTTTTATGCTTGTTTTTGGTTCCTATTTTTGTCTTCCACACTTATCTCCCTTTTGTAGTTTTAGATGATCATTTTCCTTGGTTTTATTTTTTGGCCTTTCTCAGAATATCAATTATACTTTTTTTAATCTTTTGTAATGGTTACCCTAGAGCTTGTAATATACCTTTACAGCTAATGCAAGTGTACTTTCAAATAAGACTAAACTGCTTCTTGGATTGTTCATGTACCTTCTAATAATAAAATAGTCCTAATTCTTCTGTCCCAGTCCCACCTTTCACCTCCTTGCTTTCATCCACTTCATTTATGCAGAAGCCATGATCATCACACACAGTTGCTAGTGTTTTGAACAGAATGTTACCTGTTAGATTAAGACTGATAAAAATAAACACTTTCTTTTACTTTTGTTCATTCCTACTCTAAAATTCTTCATTTTTTGTATAGATCTAAGTTTCTGATCTGCATCATCTGAGGAAATCTTTATTTCTCCATCATTTTAGAAGGATAATTTTCAGGCCACAGAAATCCAGATTGATTTTTTTTCTTTCAACCATATAAATATTTCACTCTCTTCTTGCGTGATTTCTGATGAGAAGTCTGCTAGAATTCTTTTATTCTATGCAAAAGGGGCTTTGTTTCCCTCTGTGTTGTTTAAAGATTCTCTGTCTTTGCTTTTCTGTAGTTTGATCTATGCCTCAGTGTAGTTTGGATATTTATCCTGTTTGATGCTCTCTGAGTTTCCCACATCTGGGACTTGGTGTTTCTCATTAATTTTGGAAAATTCTAGGCCACTATTACTCTAAGCTGAAAAGTAAGATGTATGAGTGCTCAGAAAGAGTCAGCAGAGCTGGTGTTTGTTCCCACAGCTTCTGATGGTCTCTGTGCCCTTAGCCAGTGTGGTGCCTGCACACTGTGGGCAATGGGCTCACAGACACATTTGCTGCCTAACCCCCAGAGCCACTGTTTCTGATGCCTGCCACTTTCTTTGCAACCCTGAAAGATGCCTCTGGTTCATCATGGGTATTTCCCACCACTGTCCTAGCCTCCATCATTTCTTTAAGGAGCCTTGGGTTTCTTGTTTAGTTTTATTTTTGTTTTAATTAGAGAGTGGCAGTAGAAACCAAGATTTTCGCGAACTGACTTTTCACCCATAATAATGGAACATAGAAGACAGTGGAATGTTGCCTTCTCAGTGCTGAGAGAAAATATCTCTACCAAGAACTGAATATTCAATGAATTCACCTTTCAAGGATGAGAATAAAATAAAGATATTTCTAAACTGACAATTTGAAATAGGAAGAAAAGGGCTAAAGGTAATAGGGAAAGTGGAAAGGGTAGGGGAAAGGTAATAAGGAAAAAATATATATGAGAAAATGAAAAAATGGAAATAAAGTGTTTGTAAATGGGAAGGGGAGGTGGAGGGGTGAAGGGAGGGTAGGGACGAGGGGAAAAAATGAGAACCAAGACCTGTCATGTAAAGGTA